GGGCCCCCGGAGGTCAAACGGCAGCAAATTGTGCAGATACGCACGTGACACATGCGCTATCTCACACCCGGGCTCGCGCCATGCCAGCCGCCGAGGCCTGCAGCCCACTGGCAGCGCGCGTCTATGGCAACGGGGCGCATGTACTTTCTGATCGATGGAGCCTCTTGGCGTCGCTCGCGTTCACCTGGCTGTTCTTTAACGCCCACATTCGCGCGTTTACTCTCGCAGCCCTGCGCATCCTGAGCGCCGCGTGCATTCGGGGCCTCCGTCGCCCCGCTGGCGAATGCAAGTTCGGCAACAACGTGGTAGACATCGACGTGCGTCGGACTCTGGAGGCTCCGTCCGTGGATTGTCTCCTCATGCGCTCATGCGCAAGCGGCTGGCATGCCTCGGTCGAGTCGTTCGGCGCGGCCCTCCTGAGCTGCGCGCCCTCCTCGCTCGACGCGCTGACCGTTCTCCCCTACCCTGGGCCAAACCTTGTGAAGAACCTACTGTGTTTGGCGCATGGCCGCCTTGTGTTCTGCAGTCCCAGATCCTGACAGGGACTTCGGGCCCTGGCTGCAATCGTCGTCTGCGCGCCAGCCCGGCGGTCGCAGTCTTACAAATGCATCATTCTGGAGTCTGCATGCAACCTGGGAGCAGGCGCCGCTCCATCGCGCGACCCTCCCATCACAGCCCGCCGCTGCCCTCGGCGCCCATCCCCCGCTGCTTCAGGCCGGGCCCTGAAGTCCCACGTGCGGACGAAGCGCGGCGCGCAGGCTCCTCGGCGCATATTTTGCCCGCCCGATGGCGTCTGCCAGGTCTGCGAACGCTGTTCCAGTCCAGGCTCCGCCTGTCGGCGCACATGTGCGATAGCAGGCGCACGAAATATCGGGGCGCAATTTGCTCCTCCCCCTCCTCCTACGATCGACTCTCGACTCTTCAGTTTACTTAGAGGCGCGACGCTCGTCGCGCTGGCCTTCCCATGCACTTGCACTGGGCCAGGCCTACACCGCGCGCGGTCGTGCGATCGTGCGCGCCGGGAGGCGGCGCCCCCCCCAGGCGATTTATCGCGTTTGCTTTCTTTGCGCGCGGCCCCCGCGTTAGCTATGTTTTGTCGCGCACTTGCGGCGGACTCGCCCTGGGCCTCGAAGAATGCAGATTCTTCTATTCTACAAACCGCGTTTTTCACTAGGGCCTCTAACTTGTCCCCCGAGGAACTGGAAAGCGCGCGGCCCCGGCGGCCCCGCCCCCGACCGCCGCCGCCCCATTGTCCACGTGAAATGCCCGAATGCGGCCTCGGCGGCCCCGTTCCCGCCCGTTGCACCCCCCTGTTGCACTATCGCATGGCGGTGTTATTGCGCTGCATTGCGCTGCGATCGCAATGAAGCGCAATCGGATTGCAGCGCGCTGCAATTGGATTGCAATGAATTGCGCTGTTGGGCATTGCATTGCATCGCGTTGCTTTGGAGCGCGTTGATCGCTCCGCGGCAAATTACATTGGCGTGCATGCTATTGCATTGGTTTGCATCGCCTGACACTGCGTTGCGCTGCGCTGCGTTGATTTACATCGGTTCGCGCTGGCTGACATTGCTTTGCACTGATTTCATTGCTGGCACTGCATTGCTTCGCGCGCTCGCGAGCGGCGGCGCGGGGGCCGACGGCGCCTCGCGCCACCGCGGGGGGGCAGGGAAATCTGCACTCCAAGCGGGGGGCGCCCCTGACGCGAAAGCGCCGTGGAGCACAGGGCAGCCAATCACGCGGCCACCCCCCGCCCCCCCCGCCCCGCGAGGCTGCCAGAGGTCATTGAAATATCAGCTCAAAAACAAGGCGGCAAAGAGCAGTAGCAGCAGACAGCGCCCGTGCCGGGCGTCGCTCCAAGACGAAAGCCAAACTTTTTTGATTGAAAAGGGTCGGTTTCTCTGGCAGACTCAGAAGTTCGACGTTTGGCGGGGACTGGATTCTCATAGCGAGTTCTCGCTCATGGTTTGAAGGATGTGCGTGGGGAACTTCGTGACGACGTCGCTGACGCGGTAGATTGCCTATCCCAAATTAGGGGCTTTGTGTGGCAGGTACAAGGCGGCCCCAGTCAAGTCTTTCCAGCGTCGGTCCACAGGCCCAGCTATTGCGACATGTTCTGTTGGATCGCGGCCGAACGCCCGCGTTCAGGATCTGCGGGAATGCCCGCCAAGCCGTAGTATGTACTTGTCAACCCTGCCCATCTGACTGTCTGAGCGTGGGGGGTACCAACCCACCCCTCTAGCCTGCCCCCCCATTTTGCTGAGCGCGTTTTCCTCGAGTGCACCGTTCAAACAGACCCCGAGAACTCTCGGGGGGCCCTCCAGTGGGCCCAAGGTTCACGACCGCGCTGCATACTTGGAGAACGTCGGTCGGCGATAATTCAAGTGCTCTCTCTCCTCGGGAGCGCGTGCCGCAGCGCTGCCGACGCGGTGCGTTGCGACCCCTTGTTGGGGCGCTTTCAGGATGGTCCTGCGTCGACGCGACGCGCAACCAAGACGGCGAAAGCGAATTCCACGGGCCCCCCAAGAGGAGCCCGAGAAGCCCGCGCGCATTCTAGCGACAGCAGACTCTGGTGGACAGGCGGTGGACGGCAGGAGTTTGTGCCACGAAGTCTCGGGACTTGGGTGGTTGCCACTGCGCGTTGCGCTCGCAAGTGCGACTACCGCTGCGTCTAGCAACGCTAGTGCCTCTGTCATTTGCCGGCCGCGACCAGTGCCTGCCTTACTAGTGCATGCCACTACGCGTGGCCCCGTGTCCGCATTTCTCTCGTTACCGCTCTAGAATTGCAACCGCCGCGCGCAATTAAACTTTGCCGCCGTCGTACCCGAGCTGTTCGATCGACGGGACATTGTTCTGTTTTCGTTTTCGTCCGCCCCCGCCCCAGTACCGTTGTCGCTAGCATTGCCGCTGCCACGACCGCCGCCAGCAATTGTCTTAGGGAAGGATGTTGCGCGGGGGCGCGGCCTGGGCGTCTGCCACGAGGGCGAAACGCAAACTTTTGCTATCGGGTGCCAAACGAATGCCAGGCAGGTCGGGGAAGAATTCGGGGCGGGCGACCGGGGGGGAGAGTTCCGCGCGCTCTGCGCGGCGCCAGGTGCATGCGTAGTGACGCGATGATCATCGCACCGTCCACCTCGCCATGTCCGCGCATGCTCAGCACTTCAACTCGTTATTCTTGCGAATGCGACCGCGTCGCCCCCGTGCCGCGCGCCCTTCCGTCGACGCATCCCCGAGCGCGTGGGCCCCGACGCCCGCGTCATTTGTGCGCGGGGCACCGCTTGGGGCTCTTCGCCCCCGATCTGCTATGAGGGCTGTTGTTTCGCGCGAAACCGGAACGCGGCTCTTGGCGCCGAACTGCAATGCGTTCCCAAAAGAGCTCCTCCCCGAAAAGATAGGACTGCTTGTAAAACGCGCAGCGGCAGCGCGCGCTCCGCCCCGCGAGTCGGGCCCAAGCTGTAAAGCGAATCCCTTTCGGGACGCGCCTCGCTGTTCGCGGAGGCCAGCCCCGCTGTCGGGGCGCTTCTCGCCGACCGAAAAGTTCTGCCCTCGCCGCCGCGCCCCCCGCTGATCGAGACGGCAGGTCCCCATCGAGACGCAGGCCGAGCCCCCCGGCATCTCCGCCCCCCCAGACGACCCGAACTCCAGGCGCAGCCCCCCCGACATCGGCACATCCCCCACAGCTCCGCTGACTCGGGCGGCGGACCGGCAGCGGCCTTCGCCGTGGCGGAGCCAGCGAGAGCCGCAATCGAATACAGCGTTGCGTTCACGCTCGCTGGCTGCAAACGAAGCTCTCTGAACCGACGCGCTGACCAAACCCAGCTGCGCTGGCACGTCGAATGGCTGCGCTCCACTGCCAACCGAGAACGCCGCGCGAGAAGTGCCGCGCGGCCGAAACTCACGCTCGGCTAGCAGCTGGGCCAAGAGGGGCGAATGGTCCAAAGTCAATCGCGCGACTGCCGATGACTCTGACGCGCGCGCCCCCGACCCCGAGGCGCGCCCGCGACCCCGACGCTCGACACCCGCCGCGCGCCACCTCATGCGATGATGGGCACCGGCTTCTTCTTCGGCGCATCGGGGCACAGCCTCTCGGGGAAATCCCCGCCATGGTTGGCTGCCCACATGTGGGCTGTAATGATGGCGAACGTTGTCGCTTCGACGTCTGTCATCTTCTCGAATGCGTTCGCAATCGCGCGCGCGGCGTAGGCCGCCCGAGCCACGCCCGGAGCAGCTGCTGGCCGGAGCGCCGCGCGGCCCGCGCACCCTGCGCCGAGAAGACTGGGAGAGCAAAAGAAAGGAAATAAGAGGACGAGTAAGACTAGAGAGGTGGAGGAAGGGGAACGAGGATGGGGAGGGCGAGGATGAGCGGGCGAACGACGATAAGGAGCGACGAGACGCCCCGCGCGCGATCAGCACCCGCGACCGCGTCGACCTGACTGCGAGCTTCGGCGCGGCCTTCGCCTCGCCAAACCAGCCATTGACGAAGGCCGCGATTCGCCGCAGAAAGCATGATCTCCAATTAGCTCGCCCCGTCGCCCACGCCGCCCGCGTTCGGCCCCACCTCGCCCGCCAGACACGTGACGTGGAACGCGAACGACTTCTTGGTGAGCTCGCCCCTGCTTGAGGAGCTTCTCACCCTCGGCCGCGGCCCCCTCCGCGATCGTGCTCATGGCGGAACCCACCTCCTCGAAAGTGTTCTGGTCGGAGACGAACGGCGGCCTGCTGCGTCTTCCCACGGTGCACCCTTAAGGCCGCGAGCTGCTGGAACTCCGCCGTCTTGCTGCCTGCCCGAGTCTCCAGCCGACGTGGTCGGGCCTCACTCCACAGACGCCTTTCGGAGATCAAGCGACGCCGACAGGGGCCCGCGCCAAGACGGCGCGTCGCACTGCCCCTAGGCGAAGACGGTCTTCAACGTCTCCATGTGCCCCGCGGCCCTGCGGGCGAAGGCGTCGTCGAACCCTGCGTCGCAGCGGGCCTTGAACATGCAGTACGCGGCGCGCCGCGCTCTGGGCGTCAATGGCCGCGTCCGCGTCCGCGGCCAGGCCGGCGCAAGCCCGCGCCAGGTCCGACAGCTCATCCAGCATCTCCCTGGACAGCGCCCCCTCGCACTCGATGGGCGACTGCGCGCCCGCAGTGATGGAGGACGCCTTGGCTGACTGCGCGCAGTCCTGAACGAGGCGGCCCGAACATATTGGACCGAAGAGGGAACTGCGACGAGGCCGCCGTGGCGAGCTTGACCAACGACGCGACAGTCGGCGCGCCCATCGACTTCAAAACGCTCGCGATGTCACAGCACCGCTCCACCCTGCCAACGACCGCGTCCTCGACGCGGGTGCCCGCGAGAGAGCCCGCGCAGGACCTGAGAGCTATCTCAGCCGCCTTCAAGTATACTGCAGGCGCGAGAATAATATCGACCAGGTCGACGAGCTCAGAAGCTGACAGGACGCCATCATCTGGAACGACGTCGTCCTTGTCGAGAACTGCCTGGGAGAAATGCTTGGAGTGTCGCGCGCGCCCCGACAACTGCCGTCGAGAATTCCTCCGACGCCTGCGCTGCCCGCGCAAACGAACGGGCCAATCTGCACTCACACCTCGTACCCGAGAGGCTCTTCACCATCCTGCACTATACTCCAAGACGTCGCCGCAGCAAATAAATCGCATGTTCCCAGCAAGGACTATAGCCGACACCAACGCACCGAACCTCGCAGTAAAAACCCGCAGCGCCTCTGGTAAGCCCTCGTCTGCCCTCAACGCGTGCTTGCGATAGTCGGAGAGCAGCTTGGTCGCGGGCTCCAACGCGGGGATCTTCTTCGACAGGCACTCGAAGTAGAACCCACCGAAACTCTCGAATAGCATATCATTCAGCTTGGCTGCGTCCGAAATCCGAAGGTGACATGGACTGACCTAGTCGGGGTTCGATCTAATCTTCGAGCTGCATCCGCTCTGAAGTCGGCCCCGTAGCCACGGGCATGCGCATCCCGAACAAAAACCGGACGACCGGACGACTTGGCGACCGGTCAATTGGACGATCGTGCGACTGGGCGACCGGACAACTCAACAACCGGACGTCTGGGCGACCGTTTGACCGGGCAATCGCACGACCAAGCGACCGACTGGACGACCGTGCGACCAGGCGACTGGGCGACCGGACGACCAAGCGCGACTGGACGACCGGGTGACCGGACGATCGGACGACCGTGCACTGGAAGACCGGGCGACGGGCGACCGATGATGCGGAATTGTGGTATTGTTCAGCTGGCAGGCTGGCAGCGTGATTCCCCCGTCTTCCCTCCTCCCTTCTCTCGTCAGTCTTGCCTATCCAGTACTCCTTGCTCTGCCCTCCTCCTCATCCTCCATGCTCCTCTGTCCTCTGTCTGCTGCTCCCCCGTCCTCCTCCTCCTCCTCCTCCTCCTCCTCCTCCTCCTCCTCCTTCTCCTCCTCCTCCTCCACCCCTTCACAATTATCCGCCCTCGTCCCTCCTCCTCCTCCCCCTCTCCCTCCTCCTCCTCCTCATCCTCCTCCTCCTTCTCATCCCTCGTCGTCGTCCTCCTCCAAGCGGTCATAAGCGCCCCAAAAGCTCGAACATGCAGAACAGCTCTGCCCATGACGCGACGAGGGCCTTTGCAGGTCTAGTGGGCCCGATTCTCTCAGGCGTGCTCTTCATACTCCTTTTGATATCCACAGCAGCGCCTGAAATGTTCCGCAGGAGACCCTCAAGATGCCCAGGCATCGCTCGCTCGCTCCCTCGTCCCTCCTCCTCGTACTGCCCCTCCTCCTCCCCCTCCTCCTCCTCCTCCTCATCTCCTCTTAGTCGTCCTCTTACTCGTCCTCTTCCTCTTCCTCCTCCTTCTCCTCCTCCTCCTCCTCCTCACTCTCCTCCTCCTCCTCTTCCTCTCCTCCTCGAGAGAAGCAGCAAGCTGCATACACATGAGTTTTCAGAGGTGCGAGCGGATTTCTTGGATCTGCGCTGGACCCTGCTAACCGAACTAGGTCTGTAGATCCCCCCCAATAGGTCTGTGGATCCCCCCAATAGTGGAAACAATTATGGAGAATGATTGTTTCTCCGCGGCACCCGCCGCGCAACAACGACGACGAGGAAGAGGAGGAGGAGGAGGAGGAGGAGGAGGAGGAGTAGGAGGAGCAGGCGGAGGAGGAGGGGCGAGTTGTATTCCCCGCCGAGAGAAGCAGGGGGGGAAGCAAATCTGAAGACCTCCTGGGGTAACGTAGCACGCGGAACGCGCCAGGGGCGGCGCCAGAAGTGCCGCCAGGAAGGCCCAGGAGCCGATCCAAAAAATCCGCGCGAGGCTCCGAGATCGGAGTTTGGGGGGTGAGATCGCAATGGAACGGAGACTCCCAACTGGAAAATCGTTTCGCTTCGTTCGTGTCGTGCGTGCGGGCGAGGCGAAGCTGCGTGGGCGCGCGAGAGGAATGAACCCGCCGTTGCTAGGGCGAAGTCAAGACAAATGATTCTCCCTCGGCCGCCCGTCCAGCGGTGGCTCGCGGTGTCCCGCGGTGTCCCGTTGTGTCCAGTGGTGTCCCGTGGTGTCCGCCGTTGCTAGGTCGAAGTCAAGACAAATGATTCTCCCCCGCCCGCCCGTCCGTCCGTCCGTCCGTCCGGCGGTGGCTCGCGGTGTAACGAGGTGTCCCGTTGAGTGACATCGATAGTGAGATCGATAGTGAGACCGATAGTGAGATCGATACTGAGATCGATGTGGCGCCCCGAGGTGACCCGTGGTGTCCCAAAAAAGAAATCGATTGTGAGATCGACAGGTGTCCCGTGGTGTCCCGTTGAGTGAGATCGATAGTGAGAGCGATCGTGAGGTCGATACTGAGATTGATGTGGTGCCCCGTGGTGTTCCAAAAAGTCGAATCGATAGTGAGACCGACAGGTGTCCCGTGGTGTCCTGTTGAGTGAGATCGATGGTGAGATCGATAGTGATATCAACGTGGTGTCCCTAGGTGTCCTGTGGTGTCCCGTGGTGTCCTATGGTGTCCCGTTGAGTGAGATCGATAATGAGACCGATAATGAGATCGAGAAGTGTCCCGCGGTGTCCCGTGGTGTCCCGTGGTGTCCCGTGGTGTCCCGTTGAGTGAGATCGATAGTGAGATCGATAGTGAGATCGACAAGTGTCCCGTGGTGTCCTGTGGTGTCACGTTGAGTGAGATCGATAGTGAGATCGATTCAGTCAGATGTTGGTTCCCCCCGTCTCCCCCCCCACCCCACAACCTCCTTATCACCCGAAGGGCGGTTGTATAGGTATACGTTTACGCAATTGTTTCTACTTTGATCCTCACCCTTCCTGCCTCATCCCTCCCTCCCAGGAGCGGCGGGGTGGGCTCGCTTCAGCTTGGCCGTCTCGTCGCCGGCCTCGATCTTCTGCTCGCGCAGGCGCCGGGCGGTCTGACGGGCGAGAGCCGCGCAGCAGACGGGGCGAGCGATATGGCCAAATACTTGGCGTAAATACGCGTCGGTCGGAAGAAGTATGTAAAAACTTACCGTATGGAGGCGGATCAAGCAAATTGGGTCGGGTCCTAGCCCTCCCAGAGATAAACAAAACACAGCGGAAGCATATCGATTCTTGAAATAGAAATAGACTGGGATCTCGGAATCCAAAAAATACTTACTCTCAACGACCGGTGTATTTTGTACTAGAACAAAGACAATCTGATCAGCATCAACCTTCGGAGCTCCGCAAGGACTTCTCCGCTCGGCGCCGGACCCCGCTCCCTGGCGCGCCAGAGGCGCTGCCAGGGTGGTCCCAGCGCCGACCCAGGACATCTGCGAGGAGCTCGGGGGGCGGGGCGGGCAAAAAAAAGGGCCTTCACCCGGAGATCATGTCGCTACCAGGGGGGGGGGGCGCACCCTTCGTCGTAGCGCTTGGGCGGGCAGGTCGGGGTGGGGGTGCGCTGCGATCGCGCGCGGGCACCAGAATGTGGGGAGGTCCAGCCCCCCCACGCACGATCCTTCATGTTACGGGGGGGGGGCTTGTGGGTCGTGGGTAGTCGGTAGTGAGTAGTGAGTAATCTGTAGTGAGTAGTGACTATCGAGTAGGGGATGGGGAGTAGCAAGTACTGAGTAGCGAGTCGGGAGTGGTGAGTAATGAGTAGTGAGTAGTGAAAAGTGAGTGCTCCACCAAAGGCCCCAGTGGCAGGGTCCGCAGTCAGTTCCACCCCCATGTCGGCGCACCCCTCACACGTTCTGCGGCCCTATAGGGTGCTCCACCGAAGGCCCCAGTGGCAGGGTCCGCAGTCAGTTCCACCCCCATGTCGGCGCACCCCTCACACGTTTCGTGGCCCTATAGGGTGCTTGACCCAAGACCCCAGTGGCAGGCTCCGCTTGCATTTCCTCTTCATTTCGGCGCACGCCTCGCACGTCTCGTGGCCGCATAGGGTGCCCCGACGAAGGCCCCAGTGGCAGGGTCCGTATGCAATTCCACCCCAATCCCGGCGCACCCCGCACACGTTTCGTGGCCCTATAGGGTGCTCCGCCGAAGGCTCCAGTGGCAGGGTCCGCAGTCAGTTCCACCCCCATGTCGGCGCACCCCTCACACGTTTCGTGGCCCTATAGGGTGCTCCGCCGAAGGCCACAGTGGCAGGGTCCGCGTGCAGCTCCACCCCCCCATGTCGGCGCACCCCTCGCACGTTCTGCGGCCCCATGTGGTGCTCCACCGACGGCTCCAGTGGCAGCGGTTGCATTGCGTGCCTGTGTCAATTTTGGCACACCTGTCACACGCGTCGTGACCCCAAGTACACCGAGGTCGATACCCACAACTGCGTTACTCACAACTCCATATGGTTGGGTCCCTCGCCAGGATAATTTGTTGATAAGGATGGTGGGGGATGTGGTCATGGTTCCTGGTTGGCCGCCAGTCGCCTGGGGGAGGGTGTGTGTACTAATCGGAAGCAGTGATCAGGGCACCCCTCCCCGCCGTCCCAACACATGAGTAGGATCCTCACCTCAGCGTGTTCAGCGGTCGTCTATGGATGGACGGCTACTGGGAACGACGACCAGACCCCGTGTGCGCGATGCTGGGACGAGGGAGAAATTCGGGGGGTGGAAGAGGAAACGCTCTAAACCACTCTCGCCCTCAAGGGCTGGTTGGATTTTCTGAGTTGCTTCGATTTCATTCCCGTACACCGTGCGGCACCCGCGCGGTGCGCGATGCGGGCCATGACCGTGTCCGTGCCCTTGTCCCTCTGACACGCCCTCTCCGAAACCGCCCGTCGCCGGTCCAGCCCTCGCAAGCCCGCCCCCCCCGTCGGCGCCCCGCCGAGAAATTTTGTTGTTGTTTCTCTGGCGCGTAGGAGTCCTTGCCCGGGCCCTCCACCCCACACGTGCTGGGCGGGGGTGGGCCGGCACTACCCACTACTCACTACCCACCAATCACTACCCAACACTCACTACTCACTACTCAGTACTCACTACTCACTACTCACTACTCACCACTCACTAATCACGACTCACTCCTCACGAATCACTACGCGCTACTCACTAATCACTAGTCACGAATGACTACCCCCTGCGCGCTACTCACTACTCATTACTCACTACTACTGATTCTCTACTCGCTACTCGCTACCGAATACCAGTACTCACTACTCACTACCCGCTACTCACCACTCACTCCCCGCTGCGCCCTACCCACTACCAACCGCAAGATATCCAGTACTCGCTGGTCACTACACTCAGACACATACTCACCACTCACTTCTCAGTACTCAATACTCACAACTCACTACCCATTACGCACTACCCACTGCTGAATACAAAACTCCTCCCTAATCTCCACCCCTCTCCCGCTACTCGCTACTATATACGCACCACTCACTAGTCACTACTCACTATCCACTACTCAGTACCCACATCTCACTAGTAACCATTCACTACTCCCTACTCCATACCCCCAACTCGCGCCCCAGTACTCACTACTCACTACTCGCTACTCACTACTCACAACTCAGTACTCATCACTCCCAATTCACTGCCCACTCCTCACTACACACTACGTACTCCTGGCTACTCCCTACTCACTAAGCACTACCCACTACTCACTACTCAGCACCCACCACTCACCACTCACTACTCACCACCCACCACTCACCGTTCACTGCGCCCTACTCACTACCAGCTACCAGCTACTCGCGACTCACCGCTCATTACCCAATACTCTCTACAGTCACTACACGCCACTCACTTTCCTCCACCCACTACTCACTACTCAGTTCTCACTTGTTTCTGCTCACCTCTCACTACACATTACTCACTACCCACGACGCACTACCCACTACTTGCTGCTTACTATTCACTACCCACTTATCACTACTCACTACTCACTCTTCACTAACTCCTTTCACTACCCACTACTCGCTTCTCACTGCTCACTACTCGCTTCTCACTACTCACTACTCCCGATTCACTACCCACAACTCACTACACACTACGCACTACTCACTACTCACTACTCACTACCCACTACTCACTACTCACTACTCACTGCTCACTACCCTGGATCCCTTAATAATCGACCCCCCCCTAAAAAACCGGACCCCCCCTTCCTTCGCGACATAATTTTCCCGACCCCCTCCCGCAGAGGGCGCCTTAATATTCCGGACCCCCCCCAGCAAAATTGCGAGCGCGACGACGACGACGACGATACGAGATTTACGACTACGACTACGACGACGACGACGACAACGACAACGACAACGACGACGACAACGACAACGCTGGCGAGACATACAAGAGCTGGCACAACTCGAAAGGGGCAGCTTTCCGCACGAAGAAAGCGGCCTTGAAGGCGGGCTTCAAGGAGAACTGAGGGGCACTTAAGTGCGCAAGATGATGTTCGCGCTTGGGGTGCGACGAGGAAACCATCACCGAGATAGTCGTCATCGCCATCAGAAGTACCATCATTGCCACCGCCGCATCATATCGTGATGATGGTGATAACGACGATGATGAGGACGATGACGATGATGTTGAAAATGTTGTTGATGATGATGATGATGCTGATGATGATGATGATGATGATGGTGCTGATGATGATGTTGGTGATGATGAACATGATGATGACGATGACGATGACGATGACGACGATGACGATGATGATGCTGATGATGATGATGGTTAGTACTCCGCGGGCTAGTACCCAAAAGGCGCCCTAATATACCGGACCCCCCCTGAACGTCGGCTTGAAGAAACGCCTTAATAAACCGGACCCCCATGCTTCCCCAAAAGGCGCCTTAATAAACCGGACCCGGGGGACGATTATTAAGGGATCCGGAGTACTCACTACCCAGTACTCACTTCTCTCTACCCAATCCTCACTACTCACTATTCCTTACTCCCTTCGCACTTCTCACTACTGAAAACGCGCCCCATGAGCATCAGCATCATCAGCCGCATCTTCGCCATCATCATCATCTTCATCATCATCATTAACATCACCGCCAGCATCATACCCAGCATCATCAGCATCATCATAATCATCATTAGCAACATCGAACGCAAACACCATGAGCATCATCTTTATCATCAGCATCGGCATCACCATCATCATCATCTTCATCATCATGAACACCACCACCATCATCATAATCACCAACATCCTCCTCATCATTATCATCATCATCATCATCATCATCATCATCATCATCATCATCATCATCATCATCATCATCAATCGTCCTCCTCCCTCCTCCTCCTTCTCCCCTTCGTACCACCTCCGCCTCCCTCATTCCGCGTCCGTCCTCCCGCGTCCTCCCCTCCTCCTCATCCTGCTCCTGCTGTCCCCCCCCCCTCCCCTTCCCCCTCCGGATCCTCCTCCACCTCTTCTTACTCGCTCTCCAACTCGTCCTTCTCGTCCTCGTCCTCATCCTCCTCCCCCTCCCCCGCCTCATCATCAGCAGCAACATCAATACCAGCGTCAGCGAAGCGTCAGCAGCATCATCAACATGATCGTCGTCGTCGCCTCCTCCTCCTCCTCCTCCTCCTCCTCCTCCTCCTCTCCTCCTCCTCCTCCTCCTCCTCCTCCTCCTCCTCCTCCTCCTCCTCCTCCTCCTCCTCCTCCTCCTCCTCCTCCTCCTCCTCCTCCTCCTCCTCCTCCTCCTCCTCCTCCTCCTCCTCCTCCTCCTCCTCCTCCTCCTCCTCCTCCTCCTCCTCCTCCCTCCTCCTCCTCCTCCTCCTCCTCCTCCTCCTCCTCCTCCCCCCTCCCCCTCCCCCCTCTCGAAGCCTGCGTGAGGCCAGTTCCGGAAAGACTCGAAGTATCCAGAAACCAGAATCAAAGATCCCGAGGCCAGACCCCCCCCCCTTGCGGGCGAGGCCCCCTCCCCAGCCCCCTATTCGGCGCACAGGGGGGGAGGGGGGGGGGTTCTGCGAGCACCCCCCTGTTGTGTATTCAGGGACATCCACTGGCGCGCTTTCCAATATACCTTCGCTGGATACCTTCGCCGCCTGTCCGCGGAAACAACTTCATCCGACAGCCTGGTGGTAAAAGGAGAGGCGCGGGTGTGCAAGCCCTTGCCAGCAAGCCTCTGTTAGCTTCACCAGAGTGTCGAACTTTGCGGTCTCGTCCCCGGTGTCCTCCTCCCACTATGCCCGAATTTGCGGCAGGGTGCGCGCCACACTCGTCGGCACGAGGGAGTGCTTAGGAGGAACAATGAGGTGGCGTAAGAAAGGATAGGATGACGGCAATCCTCCTCCTTCTCCTCCTCCTCCTCCTCCTCCTCCCCCCCCCTCCCCCCCTCCCCCTCCCCCCCTCCCTCCCCCTCCCCCCCTCGTCCTCCACGTCCTCCCCCTCCTCCTCCTCCTCCTCCTCCTCCTCCTCCATCATTCCTCCTCCTCTCCTGCGCCTCCTCCTCCTCCTCTTGCTCCTCCTGCTCCTCCCGCTACTCCCCTCCTCATCCCCCTTCCTCCTCCTCCTCCTTGCTTCCGCCTCCCCCTTCCGTCCCCCTCCTCCTCCTCCGCCTCCTCTTCTTCCTCCTCCTCCTCCAACTCCTCCTCCTCTTCCTCCTCCTCTGTCTCCGCCTCCGCCTCTTCCTCCATCTCCGTCTCCCCCTCCGCCTCCGCTTCCGCCTCCGCCTCCGCCTGCGCCTGCGCCTGCGCCTCCGCACCTCCGCCTACTCCGCCTCCTCCGCCTCCTCTTCCTCCTCCTCCTCCTCCTCCTTCTCCTCCTCGTGGTCCTCCTCCTCCACTCTCTCCTGTTCATTCTCCTCCACCTCCGCCTCCTGCTCCTCAACCTCCTACTCCTTCTCCACCTCCTACTCCTTCTCTCGCATCCGCCTACACATGTTGCAGACAGCACAAAGTGCGCGCCATCATACGATATTGACTGTTTAGAATGGGAGCCACCCACGGATGGGCATGGCGGCAGATTGTGGTCTGATTGTGTACTTGTATATGCGTGTGCATTTGAATAACTTGTTTGCCATGGGCTGAACTGGATCGTTGAGGGCGCCTAGGCCCGGCTGCTTCTGAGCCGGCTCGACTTGGCAGCGCCGGGCCTGCGCGCTTGCCGTTCCATCCCGTCGGGCGCAAGATGGCGTCCAGCAATATGTATCCTGACCCATGGCAACCCACAAACGGCTCAAACCACTCCAAGACAAACCAAGACTGGCCCGAGAACGGCCCAGGACAGCCCCAAGAGCCCAGAATGCCCAGACCTGTGTATGTACAATATATATATATATACATATATATATATGTACGACCACCCTGCGGGTGATAAGGAGGTTTGGGGGCGGAGGGGCCCAGCAATGGGCAACAGTGGTGATTGTTATTCTGACGATGCCAGTGGAGATTGTTGCGTTGCCGCTCGCTCTTGGGAACTTTGGTGTCGACTTGTTTACGTCACCCTTCGCTATTGGGCGCCTTGGTACCATCCCCTTCCCCCGGAAACCTGCCCAACGGCGGCGAACGACGACGACGGTTTTTTTGTTTGAGGCCTCCTGAGGCCCCGCTCGTCGCCACGGCTTAAATCGCCTCGAAATGTTGCTCAACGGCGGACCCTCGGCGTTCGAGAACGACGCACCGCCATCGAAACTCTTTTTTCCTTACTCTTTGGAGCTCGCGCTCACAATCGATCTCACTATCGGTCTCACTATCGATCTCACGTTTGATCTCACTATCGATCTCACGACGGGACACCGACGACACTCCGCAGGACACCGACGGGACACCGACGGGACACCGGCGGGACAGCGGCGGGACACTGCGCGGCCCCGAACGCCGGGTCGCCAAACATTTGATCCGGCCGCGCCTCAGCCACAGGAGACTTTCCTCTCGCCCGCCCGCGCAGCTTCGCCTCGCCCGCACGCACGGCATGCACGAACACTAAACCGAAATCGATTTCCTGGTAGGGGGGCTCTCCGTTCCACTTCGATCTCACCCCTCAACCTCCTATGTATATATATATGTGTGCTGCAATATTGCTCCATCGTGCAATTGTAGATTTTGTGGCGCACCCATCCCACCGACCGTCAACGTGTTCACTAAGATGGACTCCGAGTCGAGGGTCACGGTATCCTTAATAAGAGAAAAAAGCTCCGCCCAGGTGCTGACGCCGAAAATCTTCAAATTCAGCACCTTTCGGAAATACCTCAGGGGGCAAGGATTGCAGACATGTGGAACAGAACGAGCCGAGAGACGCTGGGAGAGACTCACCACACAGGAGGCAAACATCCATGGAAAATCCAAAGGCGTTGTATACTCAGTGAAGGGCACTCGCGCGGGATACCAAACTACATGGATGTGTAATGGTAAAGACAAGGTTTGCTTGGTCCGTTTAGCAAATTTGACCAAATCCGAGCGAAACGCAAGATGCCTGTATGTAAAACTCGTCACGTAACGCTGTGCACGCATTCTGCAGCTAACCGCCGTACTGCCACGGCACACGTGGGGGCGCTGGACTGTGAAGCCCTTGCTTCCCTGCTACTACCTGACTGGTCTTCGCTTGTCATCTCCTCTCTGGCGTCTTTTGTCTGCCCCTTACTGCTGCTGTGCACCTCAATGGGGAGGGGGGGGGGGCTCGGCACACTGGCAGCTATGGGTAGACCAAGATTCCCAGGGGCCATGGGGACGCCACGGCCAGGAGGGCTCAAGAGGCCTCCATGACGGACCCAAGAGGTCCCGACAAAGGGCTCACGAGCCCAAGACGGCCGACGATGGCTGAAAGTTTTTTCAGCCCCGACGGCGCAAGAGGTACTGATCCCAGATTGGTATAAAGTGGACCCTGGAAGGAAGACAGCCAGTCCTGATCAGGGGGACTCCACCTGGCCTGCAGCAGCCGAGCTGGGGTTCACAGGCGCAGCAAGACCATGGCGCGGAGCCACGGGGCACCGGGGCCTCTCGGTAAGAGGCAGGGGCGCATCCTCGACTCGTACCCGCACTGCGATGTATCGAGATCCAGCGGCGCACAGGGTGGGAAGGCAGATGGGCAACCTTCTCAGATGGCTCAGAATGCATCCCGCCTTCTGAGTTTCTCACTAAGCCCCATTACAGGCCGCCGAGGGATTCTCAGGAGTCCCGAGGTCTTCTGAGAAGCCCCGCCGCCTTCTGCCCCCACTCTCCTCCCCCCTCGGCGCGCCGCCGAGAGACCGAAGAGGGAGGTAGGGCACTTCTGATAATAGAACGGCAGGTGAGACTCGTGCATGCCCGGTCTCTCGGGGTCGTTCACGTCCCTGCGGAGACATCTCTTGCAAACGCTCTGCTCGCTCCCTTGGGCCACCTCCTCGTGCGACAATCCATCTACTGCCGAGCTCTCACGCTGCGCCTCCCCTCTCCCGTCGGGCTTCGGAGTGACTCCCTGCTCCACTGCGCCTGTCCCTCTCCCCTCGCCGCTCCGCTCCGCAGAGGGCACCCGTGCACCAACACCATGCCCGGCCAGGATCACTCTGAGCACAGGATGGCGCCTGGACCCTCCCAGACTCGGCCAGGAGGGCGTGCGCACCATGCCCCGGGGGCCAGGATGGCCCCCCGGCGCCGGGCACGGCGATGGTGCGTAAGTTCAAGAATCCCCTCTGCGTGCACGCGTCCTCCACTTTGTGCGCGGGCGTCGCAGACGACTGCCCTGCGCGCAGGGCTGGAAGCCTGCTGCCCCACCTCTTCCCCTCGGGAAGAGGAGGAGAGGGCGGAAAATACAACGCCCTGTGGGAACTCACGGGAGCCTCCTACGTCCTCTTGCTGGCCCTTGCGAATGGACATTAACCGAAATTTATCGACGATTAAATACTCTATAGACGGAACTGCAAGGGCACACAAGACCCCTTGAAGCCCAGACACGCTAGACCAAGACATCCAGCACCCTTCGTAACCATTGTTTGCCAAACGGCGGCACAGAAAAACTGCACCGCTACATTCCCGGAAGAAACACAACCCGGACAAAGGCCTTAAAAATCTGCACAAGCCTCCCCTGGACCCGGGCAGATATCCGAATCCTGCAGTGCAGCGAACAGAAACTACAAGTGACGACCAAATCTGACTTTGCAGGAACGGGTGTCGTTTCCCAGACTTACCAATATCCTGGTTCGTCTGTCTCCTGGTCTCCAGGGGCCGGAACTACCCTGGCGGCCAATCGTCCGGCCAACCACGAACACGCCCAACCAGCCCTCCGGGCAATTCCCTCCTGGTCAACCCTGGTTGCGGCATTCCGGGTCAGCAGGACACATCCTCAGAGCGTTTGTTAGCGCCAACGTGTGCTTGTCCACCGAAGCCTTCCAGTACGACGCAGGCGGTGAATTACAGCAGAGAAAAGCGCCAATCAGGGGATGGTTTGAAACTTAGTGATTTGGATATTGAGATCGATTGTGAGATCGATCGTGAGATCGATAGTGGGATCGCTAGTGAGGTAGATAGTATGGTCGGTCGTGAGACCGATAGTGATGTCGATTCAGTGAGATCAATAATGAGATCGATCGTGAGATCGCTCGTGCGATCTATAGTGAGGACGATTGTGAGATCGATAATGACATCGATCGAGAGGTGGGTAATGAGATCGATGGTGAGACCGATCGATCAAAACATCGACCAAGAACCTGGCATTCCAGAAATCCGGGAACCCCCGCCGGCCACCGAAATCGGCCGGAACTAGCAACCGCGACCCGTGAACCAAAACTGGGAACCCAGGAACCCAACCGCCTACCGAAATCGGCCACTTTCAACATCCGCTAGGACCCGCTCAGTGCAAGCACTGGTTGGGGAAGAACGATGGCCGACATAGGCCGAGCGGGGTAAACCCGCATTGAGCTAACAACCGCCATCGAACTGCGGAAGAACACCGTGACGACGAAAGACATGCTCTGCCCTGGACCCCCGAACCGTGATCGAGGTGCTCCCTTTGCGCCCCTCTCCTTTCCGCTGGGCGCTGCCAGAGATGAACCTGGCACAAGGTGCCTCCTGGCTCTCTGCGCCACTTCGGAGGCCCTGGGGGCCGTAGGCCTCTAGAGGCCCCCCGAATGCGGTCCGAGCGGATGAGGTCGGAGGATCGCGCCGCACCGGCAATGCATTGCGATTGCATCGGCGATGCGTCGGCGACGTCGGCGATGCATCGGCGCAGTCGGCGTCGAGAGAATCGGGCTCCACACCGAGACGCATCACCGATGCACTGGCAATGCAGCGCGATCCCCCGACCCCATCTACGCGGACCCAAGCGTGAAGGGCGCCTCGCGAAGGGCGCCCCATCCCACGAAGCCTGGAGCCTCGTGAAAGGCGCTCCGCAGGCAACCCGGGGCTCCCTGGAATCGCTGGGGCCACCATGGCCGCCTCTGGCAGCGCCCAGCCCACGTCTTCTCCGCGGGTTGCTGCCAGGGCTCACGCTGTGCGCCACTTCCTGCAACCCGCCCATGCCCGCTGAGCTCACAAGAAGAGAGCTGCCCTCTTCTCTCCTCCGCACCCGTCCCCAGAAAGCCTCACCCCACTTGCTCGCGTTCCCTTCTGACGTTCCCTCCCTCCAACTGCCATCATCGCAGCCACTCTACTCTGCGACATGCATCGTGGCAACATCAACACAAAACCAACGTTCCGCAGGGTATGTGTAAGGTGTGCAACTCATCGCGGCGTTGCGGCACGATGTAAGCTGGGCAACCCAGAGCGGGAAAGACCAAGCGCGTCAGGTTTTATCGCGCCCGCCTCTTAAAAAACTTGACCAGCATGTTCGACTCGAATCTCAAGGACAACAGCGCCCAGTCCTTCACCGGGGCAGGCAACAACGAACGTTACGGCCGCGGCTGGAACGCTACGACTGGCCCGCCGTCCCGCTCCCCTTATGGTGCCGTCCTCACCCATTGGTCTCTCGCCTCCTGTGGTTTCTCCCACCTGGCACCTTCAATCCGTCACAATTTCAGTCCGTTGTTCCCTTCCACTGGGTCCCTGACCCCCCTTGACCGCTCCAGAATCTCCCCCTGCTCTGTTCTTGAAGCGCGTGTCGCCTTGTTTTTGTTGATCGGCTCCGTATCAGCCTGCGCTACGATGACTCCAACAAACTACAAACAAGCATACATACCTTAATTGCACACGGGCGCGCGGTAACATACCAGCATCCGCAAGGGCATTAATAGAAAATCGTTATGACGAGGCGGACTCCTATAACATAGACTATTTGGTAAACCAGCCGATCCACTGACTGACCAACCTGTCTACCGACCAGCGAACACACGAGCCAAACATCTCCCCAGCAAGCGCATTTGCCAATCGACTAGGTAACATCTTGGTTCGCCAACCATGGAACCTGCCTGCCAACCAGCCTTGAAACCAGCCGGCCTGGAGTGAAATTCTTTTTAACAAACAATGTCGAATTCCATGGGACATTGTAGCATGGGGATCCACTCTTGTCTGGACATGGAAGTTACATGATCAGGCATGTTACATGATCAGGCACGGTACACCAGTGGCAAACATGTCCTTCCAGCGCAGAACTCATCGCTCCCACTTGGCAAACGCCAGTCTGCACCTGTCGTCGGAACATTCGCACGCTTCGACCATAGACGCCTCAATAGTAAACGTCTGTATCAAAAACATTTCGGCGTTGCCGGCTGTCCCAAACGCGGTGCTAGGTGTTTCTCGAATGCAAACATCATCACACGCATGTGACACGAATTTAGAGGCATCACTTGTGAATGAGGCTGCCTGATCGTTGACAGCACACCGCGTGCTGCAATCACGTGCATATTTTGTTCTACTCGACCACAACCTGCACTGACAATTTGCATGCCTGCAGTGATGTTTCCAAGCTGGGCGAGGGAAGCAATGCGCGCACGTCTACAGACGAAACGACAACGTCAGAGTTTTGTATTAAAAGCCCTGGCGTGCGCCAGTCAAGATTGGCTCTTTTTTCCCCCCAGCGGAGACGGCTCGGGACGAAGGGGGGGGGAGGAAAGGGGGGCGAGCAATGAGACAAGGGGCGGATTACAACAAGGCGCTGCCACCTCCTGTCGAAGGCTCGGTTCAATTTGGCGCGGCCTGTCGCGCCCAATGTTGTACCGCCGGCCCAGTGCGTCGGAACACTTGTGGGGGCCCGGCGCCGCTTGACCAGGGAAGTGGTTGGTCGCCTTGCACACAGCATGTGTGGCAAGGGCAGCCGAATCGAACTCCTTGTGCCCAGCGCTATCAAGGCACAGAAAGCTCCCCAACTTCACATCCCAGAGGCCGAAACAATACACTTGAGCCTCGCCGCCAGGGGGCACACCATGAAATGCTCAATACAGTCACACGCAGAGCAAAGGCATCCCAAACAACATCGCCCCACACTTTGGAATTGGCGTGCCGTGCGCTATCCATTCCACTGGGTCCTCCTGACTGCTGCCACATACAACACGCGGTGGTGCTGGCTGGTTCAGCTTTTGAAAAATACCCAGCGCACGACGGGGAGCGCGGCAGATTAGATTGCGAACTGACCGTCTCCACCTTCTTCAACCCAGACTGGTGAACTCGGATCGCCTCGTATAGGTCCCGCTGGTCGCCCGACACCTGGAAGCCAAGTAACGTCGCGCGGCAAGCAGCCTGGCGAGCCGACGTGGGGAAATAATGCATACCATTTCGGCCACGCGTCCGCTCGCGCGGGTGTTTGCCTGTCCCAGCTGGCTGGGGCGAACTGCTCAGCTAACGCGGCGTGATCCTTCCTACATGTCTGTGCTAACCACGCGGAGCTTGGCGGCCCACGCGCGGTCCGAGAGACGCAAAAATCCGAGCGGCACAAATCGTGCATTTTCATTAGAAAAAGTTGTTTGGAAGATTTTGGCGTTCTCGCCTCTTTGGCTTCCCGACGCTCGCAGACGGCCCTAGAGGCCCCCAAGACAGCCCCAAGAAAGCCCCAGAGGCCTCCAAGAAGAACCCAAGAGGCCTAAAACGGACCACGAGGGCCCCACGACGGCCCAAAAAGGGGGCCCAAAGAGGGAACACGAACCGAGCATCCGAGCCTTCCGCCCCAAGAGGCCCCAAGAGGCATCTAGGAGGCCCCACGAGGCCCCCAAGAGGACCAAAGAAACCCCAAGAGGCGCCCAAACTACCTCCAAGATGTCCCCGAGAAGCCTTTCACGAAATCCCTTCGGATATCCAATAGGCTTCATCCCCACAACCCATGCATGGTGGCGGGATGAGCCGAAAACAATTCGATATATAAATCAACTGGCGCGCGCAAGTCGCCCAGCCCGGCCGTGAAATCGACGAATGCCGCGGCTTCAGCCGCTGTCGCTTCTGGAATGATCTCACACAACTACCCTAGTTAAGAAAGAGCTGGGGCCACGAACGTATTGTAGACGCGAGCGTTTATCTGCTGACCGAGTCCAAGCTCCGACCACAGACGAGCTCTAGTCGAGTACTTCGCCACTGCTTGAGCCCATTCGGCATCGCGCCTCGCAAACCCAACTTTAAACACCCAATTGCGTGATATGTTTTGCATACTCCGCTCCGGCGAACTCTGGCAGCGAATCCCGCACTGCGAATTCAAATTGACGCGCTGGTGTTTCCCACAACGGGACAACGACAAGATTCGACATGTTCAGTTGTAGACCGGAGACTGCAGCAAACTCGTTGTCCACGCTGAAAACAATGAATGCGTCGCGCCAAAAGTTGAGAACGACCCAGCAGCTCCCACCGTGCCTGCGTAGTGACCGTTTATCACCACGCAGCACTGTGTCTTCAATGGCTGTTGACAGCAGTACGTATGAAATGTGTAACGCTTAGCTCAACATCAAACAGTATAAGCGCAGCGTTGCTCTCCTCGAAGCTTGCCGACATTCTGGAATGATCAAGTCCACAAGTATCCCGCATTATAAACCTCCCCTGAAGGAAGCCACGCTGCATGGGAGACACGACTTTGTGGGCAACCAGCTCCAACAAGTTCCTGTACGAACTAGCGGTCCACATGTTGTCAATAGCCATTGCAATTCAAAAACCCTGCCTTGCTGGCCGTGTGAATTTCCCGAAACCTGGATGCGTAACCTCCAGATTTCTCGGACGGCAACACCAATACCCGTTATTAAAATTCGGCGGCAACATGTCCATCCTCCTGCCGCAGAGCCGCGGCATCGAACCAAAATTGGGAGGCTAAAACGTCGACTGTTTTCCCACGCCGGGTACGGAATTTCATCTGGACCAGGGGAGGAGTCGCTCGAAGTGCGGACGGCCCGCACAACGTGAGACGGGCGCAACTGCCATTTCGAACTCTCTTCAGCAATCCCTCCCTAGCAACAACCATGAAACTTCGGACACCCCACCCGCGAATTCGCTCTAAATCTACAGATCGACGGGAAAATACATCGCCCCAATGCTGTTTCAAAGAAACTGCAGTTTCACTGACTCCAATCGCACATTCTTGAAAATCCGGCGAAGCAAGAGCCGAGAGAACTGGACACTCGCCAGGAAGAAATCGCTCAAACTTCCGTTAATATGTTCCTTGCCGGATGTCTGTTCGAAATCAAACAAACTTTTCCGTTGGTCCCTGAGGTCCTCAAGTTTACCCACTTCCTGTCGCGCCAGCTCCACGACATGGTCGCGAAAGGAAGGCGTGGGCACAGGGGGAGAACCAACGAGGGCGCGCAGACGAGGGTAGAGACGACAGAGTTGAGGAGCACGGCCCGTAGTCCCGCTCTCGCAATATCTGGGAAGCCACATGGAAGCGTGAAGCCTGTCTTCTGCGTCGGTGGCCTTATGAATGACAGCTGACCGCCCTAATCCCACCAGCCCTCTGGGCGCGAGTGGTTTAGCGAGTTACATGTTCCAACCCCCTTCGGGGAGGAGTTGATCACTGTTCCCTATTCGTAAGAGTGGTCATTCACTGTCCCTGGGTGCGGGGCTGAAGTGGGGTTTCCGAGGTTGGGATTATTGTTGCTGTTGTTGTCGTTGTCGTTGAATTCTAAATACTGGAAAAATATGGATCCCCCCTCCAGCGCATATGTTTTTTTCAATTGAAGTGCCCCTCCCGGGGCTCGCACCTTGCTTTCTAGCAGCGGAAGTCGTGAGGCTCAAATGGAGACCCTGGCCCCCGAACTACTACAGCAACGGCTGCCGCTTTCTACTTCCTCACAGTTGATTGCCCCCCCCGCCCCCGCTGGAAAATTCCTCTCAATTTACTCAAGAATCGCGAAACGTTCTTGCAATGTACTAAGGCGCCGCGCTCTCACCGTTCAGGAATTGCGCTCTCGCCTTGGTCTTCCATCTAATGTCCTTGGGCATCGCGCTCTCGCCCCATACTCCCTGGCGAGTACATGCAGGACTCAAGCATTCGCGAACCGCCCGCTCGACCCGCCCCTCGCTTTCCCTCGTGATACCGCAATCGGATTTGAAAGCCCCGCCAGTGCCTCCGTCACCTCCTCGATGCCTGGCCTGTAGTGGCCCTGCTATTTGAGCCCCCCGATGCCGTTCGTGGTTCCGCAGTCGCCTTTCATAGCCACCTTGCCGACCTTCGCGGCCCCGATGTAGCTCTTCGTGGCCCTCTCGCTGCCCTTCCTGGTCCCTTTGCAGCCCTCAGTGGCCCCCTTCTGTTTAAGGCTGCGCAAATTACGCGTGTCAGGGAAGAAAGATATCCCCCTTAAGGGACTACGATCGAAAACGAAGAGGGCGGGTACCCAGGGTTGATTGGCACGCACGCGTATAAGAACGAACCGTATCACAATTATTAGTGTTGTTGTTGAGATGTCATTTCTATAAAAATAGTGTTGACCCGCCGCGACCATTGCATGTTCAATTAAAC